TTTAAGTTTTTTTTAAATTTTTATTAGTGAAACACCACGAGGTACAGTTGTAGACTTGCAAATTTTTGTGCTTGGGTTTCAGTTATACAATGATCAAATACACATCCCTCCACCAGTGCCCATTCTCCACCACCACTAATCCCAGTATCCCTCCCACTCCCATCCCCCATATCCCACCCCGCATCTGTGACAGGGAATTCCCTTTTGTTCTCTCTCTCTCCTTTTGGGTGCTGTGGTTTGCATTGAGTGGCAACCATGTTCGGTCTATAGTCTACTTTCAGCATGTGTCTCCTATCCTGGGAGGATCCTCCCAACACCCTTTATTTGGTGCTCCCTTCTCTATCTGAGCTGCCTTTTCCCCTAGCATGTGCAGCTGGCCTCCAAGCCATGGAGTGAACCTCCTGGTACTAATCTCAGCCATTCTTGGGTTTTAGTCTCCTATTTTGTTACTTTATGTTCCCCAGATGAATGCAATCTTTCTATGTCTATCCCTTTCTTTCTGAGTCATTTAGTTTAACATGATACTTTCCATGTAGTACCACTTGTGTGTAAATTTCATGACTTCATCTTTTCTAACAGCTGCATAGTACTCCACTGTGTAGATGTACCAAAGTTTCCTTAACCAGTTTCCTGTTCTCAGGCACTCAGGTTTTTTCCAGATTCTAGCTATTGTAAACAGTGCTGCAATGAACAAACAAGTGCAGATGTCACTTTGACTATACATTTTTGCCTCTCTGGGATATATTCCCAGGAGTGATATTGCTGGGTGAAATGGGAGCTCAATTACTAATTTTTTGAGAATCGAGGTCTGAATCTTTCAATGTCAAAGAATAGGTCACTTTTATGGGTTGTGATGATACTAGTGATTCCTTGAGCATAAATACATGCCAAAATCTGCTATGTAGTGCATTTAAAATGTGTACTTTTTTTTCTTTTTTGGGTCATACCCTGCAATACACAGGGGTTACTCATGGCTCTGCCCTCAGGAATTACTCCTGGCAGTGCTCAGGGGATCATATGGGATGCTGGGAATCAAACCCAGGTTGGCCACGTGCAAGACAAACGCCCTAACCACTGTTCTATTGCTCCAGCCCCAATGTGTACTTTTGTTACTTGTAAATTCAACTCAAATATAGAAACAAGATTAAAAAAAACTCTCTCTATATATCTATCTCTATACATGTATATTAAGTGTCCTGATAGAAACACTCAGAATTATAAAACAATGGTATTTCAGAGGTAATTTGTTGAACATCTAACAATGGAAACTGTAAGTACCGAGCAATCAGAATATAATGAATGTAATACAATTCATACAGGCAATCTATGAAAGACTAGTACTAACCCAGAAAAAGAATAGATATCAGTAAGTGGGATTATTTATATTCTTTTTTGTTTCTTTTTGTTCATCTCTATTTTCTAATTTTCTGCCCATGTTTCTAATCAGGTACCTCAAAGCAAGGGGGAAATCTATTTTTAATTATTTAAGAAAACTACCCAATTGCAATCACATTTTATACTGTTATAAAATCCTAATGGCCCTCAAAACTCTAATGAAACTTTTAAATAATGAATATGAGAAATAGTATACTAAAACAACATTGAAATAGAAGTTAAAAATGGATAACATTATAAAAATATTTTTCATCCACTCAAATAAAATAGTGAGATATATTTTAAACTATTTTACTATTTAATATTGATAAATTCCTTCCCTTTGCTCCCAGTTCCAACTAGATCTTCATATAATTATGCTTGAGACTTATCTTTCCTCAATTTTCCAGACTTGAAAATGCCATAGTGGCTCAGAATTAGATATTTACTATATTCCAGTGAACATCTTGACCTGCATCAGACTTCAGATTATGGTTCAGCAATCCAGGAAATAGAATGACAATTATCAACCCAGGATAAATTTTTATAGCTAAATTATAGACCATGACAAAAATTGCCTCCATCTCCTTTTAGCATAAACCCCTGTCTCTGTAGCTTGTCATTGTAACAAACCTTTGTTCCAATCAACTTCTTCAGAGGTAAGCACAGTAAGAACCTGGCAATAAGAGTAATTGCTGAGAAGCTATGATCATCAAATAATGAGCAGGGAGTCTCCTTTATCATGTTCCTATCAACAGAAGAACCATCTTAGTCAAGAGTCAATAGTTAGTTTAGTGACACAACTTCTTTCAAGAACTTCTTTCAAGAAGGTGCTTCTGTACAATTTCCCAGTGTTGCTTTACAATGCAGCTAGCTCAGAAAGAGTTTTAAAAGCACCTCCACCCACTGTGAGTTCACAGTTATCTTTAATGATTTGCAAATCCCAATGTTTTTAAAAGCAGATTTTGTCACTTGTGGTTAAAGTGATAACACCCGTACCTAAACAGTTACTGCCAAAGTCACCCTGGGCTACCAGGATGTGTGGGGTAAAGGAGAGGCAGTGATGGTATCTGTTTTTTCTAGCCTTAACTCAGCTCTCCTTCATTCGGACATAGCATGTTATTTCTGGAGCATCCTCCAGTCAGCTCCTAGAGCCTCCTGGGCTCAGGTGACCTCCCTTATCAGCAGAGGCTAACCACTCTGCTCCATTACCTGGAAGAAAACAATGATGGCAGCTCAAAAATGCTCGATTGGAGCCTTTGAAGAACATGTCCCCTGAATGTGTTAATAAGAAAAATACGAAGGAGTTTCATGAGGTAGCCAATGTGGCATTTCCACAAGACACTCCATTACAAATCACATCACCAAGTACAGCTTCATCCAGACATTTTGAGTCTTTCACCTTCTGATTGAGGACTAGAAATATCTATGAATTAATATAGAATGTATAGTGATTCTATAATTCCAAATTCTCTTAATCTCTAAATCAAATTTTTTAAATCTTCTTTGGTTGGGCTTTTTTGTTTATTTTGGGGTGACATTCAGTGGTGCTCAAGAATTATTCCTGGCTCTGTGCTCAAGAATGACTTCTAGAGGAGCTCAAGGGACCATATGTGGTGCCAGATATTGAATCTGGCTCAGCTGCATGCAAGGCAAAGGCCCTAACTGTTGTATAGATGCATTCAAACCCATTCTACTAAGTCAAGATTGGAATCTGAATCTGTCTCCAGAAACTCTGCCATACTGGAATTGCTCAAGAATCACAGAAACCATTTACTAGAGAAGTTAACCTCTAATTAAGCCACCTAAGGACTCAGAACAAAGCTGGCTATGGTTATACTTCAAAATATCCCTCCAAGATAGGAAAATCTCCAATAATGCAAATGTGTCATAAGCACCTTAACTGAAAAGTATAAACAGAATATAGTTGGCTGTGGGGAGATACAGGATTTCAAAAATGGAAAAGACCCTACTGTCTTTCGGTTTGATGTGCTCTTGGTAAACTCTCTAGGACACATATTCATCCTCCTTGGTGTGTAAAGAACAGCATCCACTATGGGGCCACCAGCTATACTGGAGGCTGAGTTCCAGCTATAGTCTCCCATTAGGACCACTGGGAAGTAAATTAGAAGCTAATGCTATTCAACCCTTTCTCTAGCCCTGCACCACTTTTACAGTTCCCATTGTCAGTACATACTGATCTTTATTGAAGGTCTGCCCCCAGGATGGCAGACCCTACTTTACCAGCAGGAAAGTAGAGCCTTAGAAGTCCTTGCCCAATGACTAATAATCCGGGGCATATACTTACTCCAGCTCCCTCATCCTGCTAGGGACAGTTCTGAGATAAGATCATATTGTGTTCAGAGGTTCCTGCAAGATGCAGTCTCCCATAACAGAACTTGACCGTATATTATACCATAGCTTGGTTTTCCTATCACTTCTCAGTCCTGCTTCTCCACTCTTCTTACCTTTTCTGGGATGACTTCAGAATAAACCACTGCCATGGCCATCATTGCTTTGAGTTTGTTTGGGAGAGATAAACTGAGAGACAATAGAATACACAGAAGATTCCACCTCTCTGGATAATCTGAACAAATACCTTGGGGTCACTAAGTCTACCTCTCCCCACCTAGGAAACGAGTATCAGAGTATGATAAAAAAAAATAATCCACTTCCCAACATTTCAAAAATTATTGAATTTAAGTTATTGGGAGATGGATGTTCAGAGTGTCCTCACTTATTAAGACTGAACGAATCCACTCTATATGGAAACTTTAACTTTATTCTCATTTAATGGTGACTTCAAGAGAAAAACACAATAGATTCACCATCTAAAAATGCTAGTCTGCAACCTTGAAGCCAGACAGACTTCTGTGTCATCCCAGTCTCCAGAGGATACCAGACCAAACTCATCTCACAGTTCCAGTTCCTCTGAATCAAACCTGCATGCTAAAAAATTCTTACAGTAGTTTTAAACTTTACATATTCTCCCAAAACAAAGATCAAAATATCTTACAAAGCTTTTTAAAAAAATATTTTATGATGAATTATTAGTCTCTTGAAATACATTTTCATGCCCCAGGCCTTAAAAGAATTCTATATAGAAATCATCCTCATAATGGCTTTTAAATACTTGAGAGTTTATTCTTCTTTATAAAAATCCTAGGTGATGACTTGTTGATGAGAAAATTAAATAAAGGAGATTCTTATTACTAAGAAGGTACTGCACTTCCAAAATATTCTTTAAATATAAAAACTTCGAGTGTCATAATGTCTTTAGTAGAGAAATTAAGATCCAAAGCTTCATCCATATGGAATGTCTCGATGTGGTATATATCAGATCAATCAGTATGGTAGAAACAAAAGATTTGCTTCATGAAATGGGTCAGCCAAACTGAATAGAAATAATTACAATCTGTTAGTATCCAGGTATACCAAGTAGAGCAACATCCTTCTTCTATGAATATAATTGCGATACTTCTACATTTTTTTCATCTCAGAAACACAGCACTGGTTTTCCAAACTATGTATCTTGTGATCCATGGGATCTGGAAAAGATTCCTCTGTGATGTTCCAGATTGTGAATTTTAGAAACTGTTCAACTGGACCAAGCCAGCAGCATCCAGTTAGGACTTCACCTTGGGTGACCTGTTGAGAGGAAATCCACCCCCGGCGTAGTGGGAGACATTTGGTCTGGGCATTGTGAAAGGTTCCGTGAGCATTCTGTCTTTGTTTCTGTAAGAGAGAGGGGATGAAAGTTAACTTCCTTAATATCTTTTTCCTTTTCTAAGTTTCATGTTCTCTAAGCTCTTTGGGTGTGTTAGCCACTGAAAACTGCTTTGATTAAAGCTTCCAGTCTTAAACAAGGTGGTTGTTTAAATCTAATTAGATGTTCATCAATAACACATGGAATTAGAGAACGACACAATTAAATGTGCCCTCCTAATGCTGATCTAAATAGGGACTGAAAACCTCATTATAACCCAAGCACTATGGGCCTACAGCTTCAGACTTGTAATCATCTTCCTGATTTATAAAATACTTGTTTAGTTTTAAAGATTAGTCAGAAGATTTCCCTTGGCTCAATGATAATGACTAATTCATCATTTATCAACTTTTATATTCCAAAGTTCCAGGGGAAACTTATCAATATTTACCATGCATAAGAAATCTTCATCAAACTTGAACATTTATAAAATACAAATTGTTTTGTAACTTTTCCTAACAAGCATCAGCTATTATTAGGAATGTTTAAAATAGTAAAAAAATTTTAACTGGGAGAGGCTGACAGATAATCTCATGGTTAGGATACATGCCAGGTATGCACCCAACTTGGCTTAGATGCCTGGGACCATATGGTTTCCTGATTATCACGGGGTGCAGCTCTGGAGCCCCTGAGTAGCCTGATATCCCCAACACTTTGGGCCTCAGAAGCATCACATCCTCCTGCCCATATGCCAACTGAAGGCCCAGTTGTGCCGAGAATTCCAGGGAAGGAGGGAGAATGGGGGAGGGCAGGACCACCTGAGTGCCACAACTTGAGAGATTAAAAAAAAAAGAAATAGGGAAAGGTAAATAAAATAGCTACAATTGGCAAAGGAAATTCTACCCTAAAATCTACAATGCATCTTCTATAATATATATCCCCATTAGGGACCCAAAAACAGATGGAAGTGCTAGAGCACATGCTTCGTGTGTGGAAGGCCCAGACTCAATCCCCAGCACATCAAGGTCCCCTGAGCATCACAAAGAGCCATCGTTGAGCAACACTGATGTGGTTCCAACATAAAATAACAAATATAAAAAATTAAACACTGCATATACATTCAATTTTCCTGGCAAAGTACTTCAAATTTACTCAAATTATCTATTGTACGTTTAAGGATTTTATGAAAAACATCTTTGGAATCCTTTCTTAAAAATTAATGGACCAGAGAGATAATACAGCGGGTAGGGCCCTTGCCTTATACACAGCCAACCCAGATTTGATCACTAGCACCCCATATGGTCCCCCAAGCACCACAAGGAGTAATCCTGAGTGCAAAGGCAGGAGGAAGACCTGAGTACCACTGGGTGTGGCCCCAAAACAAAAACAAACAAAAATCAAAAATTTAATTTGACAACTAGGAATGATTTGCTGTAGGGGACTGAATTGTACCTTTGGGGTGGGTGGTGTGAGGGGGGCAGATTCTTGATTCTTGGACCTGTCTGAGGACTGGGGTCTTGATTTAATGGTATGTGCATGGGTATATACATCAGGTGTCTGAGAAAAGTAGGTGGTTAAAAAAAAGAAGGAAAAAAATAAATAAATAAAAATTTTAAAGAAGGAAATTCTATAAAATACTAATTTGTAAAGAGCAAGTTTGGGAAGAACTTCTACAGTGATTATTCTAAATTATTCCATTTGGAGAGAACCTATAGAGAATTGGTTAATCAATCCAGCTTTCCTTTAGCAAAATTGATTTCATTATTATAGAAAACCATTCTCATAAATAGGACGACTTTAGCCCTGAGCCAGTCCAGCATAAAGAATTCCTTCCAGTACGTTGGCAAATTGGCCACCTCCTGCCTATGGTGAGATGGGGTTCCTGCCCCACCCATCTCTATTCACTGCCCCACTCCAATACACCCCTCCGCCACCACCCAGGCCCCTGCCTATCTTGCCTTAAATGACCTAAATTTTCCCATCTGAAGATATTTAAGTTAATGTTTCTGGCTTAGTCTAAGCTGAGTAATGGGAATAAGCTTCCTCAATATTATTTTTAATGTATTTACAAACCATTGTAATTACTCCCTTCAGCTTTCTTCCTTCTAGTCTAAACCATCTCAGCACTTTTGTTCATGCCTCTGCATTTTTCTCTTCAATCCTCTCTCTTCTCTTTCTCTCTCTTTCTCTCCCCCTTCACTCCACCCTACCCCAAACTAACTTCTCTGTTCACCTCCAGGAATCCCTAACCAAATGGAACCACCAATGAAGTCCTAACTAGGTCAAAGCGTCTACAAATAAGGAGCAGATGAGAAGAGGAAAAGGATCCATTGAACCAGCACAATGGATATGGCATTTGCCTTGCACATGGCCAACCCAGGTCCAATCCCTAGCACACCATATTCTATTTATACTTTAGGGGACTCCCAAACTGACAGGAGTGATACCTGAGCCAGAGCTATGAATAATTACTGAACACTGCCAGATGTGGCCCCAAAACCAAAAATTAAAAGAAGGGGGACCACAAAGGCCTAGTTTTTAGAGCAATCTCTGCAGGAAAACCTCCCACATAGGCAGAAGGACCTGTACATTGGGGCCCAAGGTTGGAGTCCACTCATCCATGTGACTGGTAAGCACTTCAAATATGACAACTACAACTAACAAACTGAATTTTTCATTTGATTCATTATAGTTTACTTCCATTAGAGTGTCATGAGGGGTAGATATGATTGGGGTGTGCCAGTAAATGGGTTATTGGGAAGGGTTGGGACTACAGAAGGGTGCCCCTAGCTTAGTTCAGTGTCTATTCAACTGTGGGGGGATCAATAAAACCAAAGAATAGGCCAAAGCCCGAGTCAAGGCAGGGAAGTTAATTGGCTTCAGAAGGAACTAATGCTTCAGCAAAACCAACTTATAGCTAAGTAAGCCAGATCCCTGGTCTCCAAAATGATGCGCCTGCACTTGAGAATTGAAAGGACTCACCAACGGGCTGGAGGGGAAGAAGGAAAAAGAGATTCTATTTATACTTTCTTTGATATTTGAGAATTAAAAGTCACCCCCTGAATAAGCAGTATGTAAAGTAACAATAGCATTTTCATGGAATTTATAAGTTAAAATATTGGTGATTTTTTTAAAAAGTATTCAAAATTTGAAATTTAAAAAATGTTTTAAAATATTTTCAGTTATCCAAAGAGTAGTCTTAAGGTTCAGTTTGTTCTACTGGTAAGGGTGTGTCAACAAAATTGTGCAGGTCCCTGAGCCTAAGAAACACTGCCATCCAAGCCTGAAAGAAACCTGTAGTGTTTCTACTCCAATATTCATTAAATAGGAGCTTTCTACAGCCAGGGCCCCAGTCTGCTCTATCTGAATCTCTGAAAATGCAGTCTGAGAATCTGCCTGTTTAATAAATCTCAACCACAATTCAGAATGAGACGCAGCTAGGCCGTCACATTAAGACGGATTCATATAATTAGCTATAATTTTTAGCAGTATTTTATTCTACCAAGGCAGGGGCATCTAAATGTGGAATGGGGGACTCCTCTGATTTATAAGAAGAGTAGATTTTTACGGGCAGATGAATTTGCAACCAGTTACTTTAAATAGCTATTTGTGTGAATGAATCATACAGGGCAGATGTGTTCAAACCATCTCGCAGCAGACCCGGAAGTGTATATATGGGTGAAATATCACACATGACTCTCACCCCTGAAGGTGAGCCACTACAGAATGAACCAGCTCATCTGCTACCCAGTCAAACCAAGTTTCAAGATTCAACCTACTGGCTTATTTGAGCCTGCTCTTACACCGGGAATTGGGCAAACTATGAAAACAAAGCAAAGCCCCAAATGTCCAACCAATTTATTGCATCATCACATCCTACAGGAATAAGCACTCATGAAGACATCCCACAGCAGGACTTGAAGCCAGTTACTGGACAAAGAGATGAGTCAGAGAGCACTTAAGGCACAGGAGAAAATTATCCATGAACTGCTCATGATTATAAGCAAGACCCCTTAGCAAAATTTCCTGCACTCGACTTGGAATGTGACTGGTTGGTTCTTCAGCTCAAAACAGCCTGACTTGTTTGCAAACCTAATTATGGCACCATTACCTCCAAACCAAGAAAAGAAAGTTGAGAACAAACCCCATGACGTTCCCTCTGCTCTCTAATAGGACCACCCGTGAGTAGATAGTCACAGATGCCTATTTGAATCCTGTGGTGGGGTATAGACCTGAACCCTATGAGTGACCAGGAAGGGGGAGGGAGGAGCATTGTTTCATCTTACTTTGCCAAAGTGCAATCTGCAATGACTCGGGGACTCATCCTCAAATAATTCTGGACAACAAAGTAACACAATAGAATTAGTAAAGCATATGACCAATTCTTACCGCTGAATGTGTTCTTTACGTTTCTGAGCAAGGTATTTCTTCTTTAAATTCAGCAGTTCATTGCTAAGTTTTTCAATTTCATACTTATATTCTTGGCTCTGGGACTCATACATATTCAGTTCTGAAGACAAAACCTAATGTGGCAAAGAAAGCAGCATTAACAAAAGATACATTCTGAGACAACTAGCCATTTTTTTTTCAAAAATATTTTTAATTTTGCCAGTTTTAATTTTGCCAGTAAGGTGCAAAACCATGACCAGGCCTAAATAATTCACCTGCATTCTTCTTCCAGTTCCAAGTCTACATCTGTGTAAAAACCTTGACTAGGTTTGAAGATTCCTAAGACCCGGTGACAAATGTAAATGAAACCTCATTCCCCTGCTTCAAAGAAAAACCATCAGGCAACATTCAAACATGATCAAAGTGAATGGGAGTATTTCAAGGTACATAGTGAGTAGGGACAGGAAAATTCCCAGACATACTATACAAAAGTATTCTAAAACCTTTTTTTCTTTTTAAAAGCATTCAAGTCAGACATCATTAGAGAATATGAATCATTTAAAAAATATATATTCTGGAATCATCCTACCCCCATTGCCATGAACTAGCCTTGAGTCTCTGCGTTTTCCTAGGTTGCTCATCTGCTAAACTCCTCTCCCCTTTTGATTCTGGGTTTGGGACTGATTCATAGACTCTCTATCCAGGCTCTGAGACACTTATTACCACAAAGCAGAGCCCTACAGCTTAGCTGATAAGAGGCAGGGGGAAGCCAAATGTACACGGGGTGGAGGGGGACTGCAATAGACGAGTTTATCTGCACTCCTATTCTTATGTCTGGTAGATGCTGCTGGGTTACATTTGGGCAGGAAGAGTGAGGACTTACTCATTTGAACAGAACATACAAAGCATGCTCAAATGAGGGAAAGCTCTACAAAGAAAGGGAGAGAGAGAGAGAGAGACAGAGAGAGACAGAGAGAGAGAGAAGACTGTTGAGCTAAGGTGCATGCTATATTTCTTTCCTCTTGCTTGTGATTATAACGTGCCTTTTGAGTGTGTCCCAGCTTTTGAAAATTTATGTCTCATGCTATGACAATGACTCTTCTATCTTGGAGCTAAAGAATATAATTTATTTGGGGGCCACACCTAGGGAGTGCTCAGGACTGGCTCAGGGATCACTCCTGGTCATGCTTGGTGCTAACCATGTGTGGTAACCATGTGTGGTGCTGGGGACTGAACAAGGGTTGTCAGGCAGGATAGAAGGCAAGTGCCTTAACCCCTACACTATCTCTCTGTCCCAAGAATATGACCCTTGTCTTAGATGAAAATCTGTCTTAGGAGCTAAACTCTCAGGAACAATGACCCCCTTTCCAGTGAATACAGAATTTCCTTTTTAAAAAAGAGTCCACAGTCATGTGGACAGAGTAATAGACCAACCCCATACCACGCACCTTGGAGCCTCTTCCACACAAGGTTACATTTAAGTCAAAGCAAAAATCTAGATTTCCCAAGTTTAAGGGTTAAAATAACAAGTCTCCCATGAGCCACTAAATGCACCTTCGTAGTTTCTCCATGGTAGTGTGAATGCAGACACATGCTTTTCCTGTCTATGCCCACCCCTGAGAAAAAGAACCAGGGTTTATTTAGTTTGAAATATTCCATTGTTTAAAGGGGTAGAAATCATCAAAATCTTATGCCTCATGCAAAACTCAATTTATGTCCCAGGATGCCTCTTGTGAAATGTACACAGAGTAGAGAGCTGACAAGGAATGCTCTAATTAGACTTTGGTCACATCTGCCCTTTTAAAGCAAAAGGACATGATTTATAGCATCTTATTTGTGAAAGAATCAGGACTATACTGGTATCAGGGCATTTATTTCATCCGGGAAGCAGGATGGAAATGACCAGCCACTCCTGCACAGATAGCACTGTCTGTAGCATTGTCCTCTCGTTGTTCATCGATTTGCTCAAGCGGGCGGGCACCAGTAACGTCTCCATTGTGAGACTTGTTGTTACTGTGTTTGGCATATTGAATACGTCACAGGAAGCTTGCCAGGCTTTGCCATCCAGGCGGGATACTCTCGGTAGCTTGCCGGGCTCTCCGAGAGAGGTGGAGGAATCGAACCCAGGTCAGCCACATGCAAGGCAAATGCCCTACATGCTGTGCTATCGCTCAGGTAAGAGGCAGAATTTTCTTGAGAAAACTTTTTAAAGGCATGTGTAAAACATTCTATCTCCCCAGTTGAGGCTCTTATAAAAGCTAGAAGGAAATTTTATGTTGAAAGAATTCATGCACAATTTTACTTCCCTTTCATGGCTACTTAATTGATAGATGAATTAGGGCCATGGGGCTGGGGGATAGCTCAGACTTTGTGTGCATTTATTACCATTAGAATAGAACAGCAAGACCCTGCTTTGGTTCAGACAACTACTTTTGTGGATAACTGCTGTTCAGCTATTTCCTTCTGTTCCTCACACTCCAAGCCCTTCAGTTCATCTGAGATCCAGGCAAGCCCTAATTTCCATTCCATTACCATCATTTTCTCCCCAGTTCTTTTCTCGCTTGCTCACCTCCCTCTTTTAGGTGGTGAAAATTGGGGGTGCAGAAGGCCAGGCCTTATAGTCTAGGGCAAAGGGGTGTCTCAGGCTGGACCTGCTCCTCCTGGGACCAAACTTTCTAAAAGCTGACATCTCTGAAGTTTGTCATATGGGAGGGGGCTGGTCCAGGTGTGCCCCCCATCCCACCCCCCATTGTGGCTATCCTTCCACTGGCCAGAGCCACCACTCACTTTCAGCTGCTTGGTCTTCTCCCGAAGCGTGTGTCGGTAGATCTGGAGCTGTTCTGCGGCCTCGGGGCCAGGATGCCGGGCAATGATGTGCTTTAGTTCCACGTACAGTTTCTCCTTTTCCTGGTAAAGAGCATTTCCACAGGTGAAAATAAATGACCCCATCGAGACAGAGAAAGAGTCCTCAACAGCGCAGGCAGGGTATGTGAAAGCATCTAAAGTGACTGCACAACTCCACACCAGTTCTGTGCACCTTGAGAGTAACCCCACCGTGCAGAGAGGTCTCGCAGGTCCAAGCATATGCCCAACATTTGAATGCAAAGAAATGAGAATGAGAAAGGGCCCCTCAGCCTAAAGTTAGAATTACATGTCTGTGTCACAAGGTCAGTGCTGGCAGAAAAGCGTACTGGCCAGTGAGCAGAAGCAGGGATTAGAAGAATTGGTGGTATTGGGGGAAGTGTAGGGGATAGAGGGTGGGGGAGAGTAAATATTACAAAAATGCTACTTGAATTGTCCCTTTACTAAAGTTCGATCCCCAACGCCATCTGGCCTTCTATGCACTGCACCATTAGGGAGGTCAAAAGACAGGAAGGCAAACAAACAAGCAAAATGAAAGAGCCAAAGTCTTCCCTAGACAGAGAGGAAAGAGAACTTTTTGCTCAGTGACAGGACAGCAGAAAGACGAGTCTGCATCAGGGGTGCAGGGCAAAAGGAGGGAGAACAAAGTGGAAAGACTGGGCCCACAGGTCAAGGCCACCCAGTGGCTCATCTAACATGTGGTTTGCGACACATTGGAACAGGCAATTGGAAGTCCAAAATGAGATTATCTTTAAAGGAAGAATTTGGGTGGAGAAGCAGAGAACATAATGAGGAGATAGCTCAAGGTACCTGGACAATAGGAAAGTGAAGAAAGTTGCATTTAAAGTGATTAGGATGGCCCGACAAGGGGTTGATATCAAGGATATACAAGGTACTGGTTAAACTACACAAGAAGAAATCACCCAACCCCATCAAAAAATGGGGCGAGGAAATGAACAGAAACTTTCGCAAAGAAGAAATCCGAATGGCAAAAAGGCACACGAGAAAATGCTCTACATCACTAATCATCAGAGAGATGCAGATCAAAACAACAATGAGATATCATTTCACACCACAGAGACTGGCCCACATCCACAAGAACAAAAGCAACAGGTGCTGGCGCGGATGTGGTGAGAAAGGGACCCTCCTTCACTGCTGGTGGGAATGCAGGCTGGTCCAACCCTTTTGGAAAACAGTATGGACGATTCTCAAAAAATTAGAATTTGATCTCCCATTTGACCCAGCTATAGCACTCCTGGGAATATATCCCAGAGAGGCAAAAAGGTATAGTCGAAGTGACATCTGCAATTGTTTGTTCATTGCAGCACTCTTTACAATAGCCAGAATCTGGAAAAAACCTGAGTGCCCGAGAACAGATGACTGGTTAAAGAAACTTTGGTACATTTACACAATGGAGTACTATGTAGCTGTTAGAAAAGATGAAGTTATGAAATTTACATACAAGTGGTACTACATGGAAAGTATCATGTTAAGCGAAATGAGTCAGAAAGAGCGGGATAGACACAGAAAGATTGCATTCATCTGGGGAACATAAAGCAACAAAATGGGAGACTAACACCCAGGAATGGCTCAGATTAGTACCAGGAATTTTGCTCCATGACTTGAAGGCCAGCCACATGTGCTAGGTGAGAAGGAAGCTCAGATAGAGAAGAGAGCACCAAATAAAGGGTGTTGTGAAGACCCTCCCAGGGTGGGAGAGACATGCTAAAAGTAGTCTATAGACCAAACATGATTGCCACTCAATGCCTCTCTGGCAAAACACAGTACCCAAAAGAAGAGAGAGAATAAGGGGGAATGCCCTGCCACAGCGGCAGGGTGGGACGGGGGGGGGGGGGGGGATGGGGGGGGGAGGGATGCTAGGACCCATGGTGGAGGAGGATGGGCACTGGTGGTGGGATGAGTACTTGATCATTGTATAACTGAAACCCAAGCACAAAAATTTATAAGTCTATAACTGTACCTCATGCTGTTTCACTAATAAAAAAATGATAAAAAAATAATAAATAAAGTGATTAGGATGGGGCTGGAGCAATAGCACAGCAGGTAGGGCATTTGCCTTGCATGCAGCTGACCCGAGTTCAATTCCCAGCATCCCATATGGTTCCCAGGGCACCACCAGGGGTAATTCCTGAGTGCAGAGCCAGGAGTAACCTTTGTGCATCACCGGGTGTGACCCAAAAAGGAAAAAAAAGTCATTAGGATGGAAAGTAAGTGAGTGCAAAGAGAGTACTAAAGTAGAAAGAGCCCTTGGAACTTGGCCAATGACCAGACAAGAAAGGAAAGAGAGAAGGGGGAGGAGAAGGAAGGAAGGAAGGAAGGAAGGAAGGAAGGGAGGGAGGGAGGGAGGGAGGGAGGGAGGGAGGGAGGGAGGGAGGGAGGGAGGGAGGGAAGAATGGAAGGGAAGAAGGGAGGAAAGAGGGAATAGGGAGAGAAGGAGTGGAAATAGGAAGGAGGAGCCAGGCAAGGAGGAGACAAAGGTGACTCTGGAGTCCCCAGAGTGGAGAGTTCGAATGGTCCTGCAGGCAGAAAGGTAAGAAGAGAAGCAGAACATGAGCCATTACTATCATACTATCATAATACCATATCATAACATAATCCCTGTCTGATTAGAGGTTTAGGCCCTCTGAGAAATCAAGAAGAAGAGTTGGAAAGGACGAAGAACTGAAGAGGAAGTCAAAGACAGAAGGTGGTCATGTCAGAGCCCTTTCCTGGCCCTTTCCATCCCATCCCAGTGAGACCCCTCCTGCAGGGAAGCTCCCATGGTGGGCCAGGACCACGGGTAAAACCGACTTCTGGGAAGACCAAGCTCATAGGGAGGAGAAGGGTAGAAGTAAGGAAAAGTCAGAGAAGGGGAACAAGGAAGAGTACTTCAATGCCCTCCTAATCAACAAAGGGCAGATGTTTAAGAGTGGTGGTTGTGGTATGTGGAGGGGGTGGGTATGGTGGGAGGTTATACGGAGCAGAAACATGACCTAATATAATAAATATAATTTATATATAAATGTAAGGTTATGACCTTAGGCAGAAACATTTGAGGAGCAAGAATTAGAGTTGAAGAACAAATCTAAGGAAAATATAAAGGGAGTCCTTTAAGAAATGGGACTGGTAGGGGGTATGGTGCCACCAGCAGGTCAATCTGTACCTGTGAGGCAAGGGCATCAGCAGCCTTATGGTGCCTTCAGACTTCCAGATACCCCAAAATTGCTGCTGTGCCTTTGGCCAGACCCCAAAAACTTGGGGCAAAGTTTACCAGGAAAGTAAACAGCCAAAAGTTAGGTATGTGGGAGACACACCCACAAACTAACTCTGGCTCAGCTATGTAATTGGAGGCATGGCCTATCTGGTTCCTGATCGAACTGCTTAACGGCCATGATCCCAGAGACTCAGAAACAAATCTAGAAACCCAATGGCTTTTGACAGAAATGCATCCGGTCCCTGCAGTAGGTTACCGGCACCGGGCCACCCCAGCTGGGAACAGGTTTCGTGCCTTGGCCTGTTCCCCCTGGCGACTCAGTGGCCATCATCCTCCAGAGGCCACTGGACAGTCAGGTTTGGTCCCACAGTGACAAGACACATGGGGCCTCATGGGATGGGGGTGGAGCCGGCCCTTTTCATCCCGTCCCAGTGAGACCCTGAGTTGCCGACCACAAATGGCCTCTCTGGCTCCTGATGCCAGAGACTCAGAAACAAATCTCAAAACCCAGCGGCTTTTGGCAGAAATGCGTCTGGACTGCGCAGTAGGTTACTGTCACCAGGCCAATCCAGGTGGGGGAAAGGGTGCTGTCCCTCCACCTAGGTTTTGGCAGAAATCCCTCCAGATTTAATTGTTAAAACTTTGAAATTCCAAAATCGTGCGGCCACTGCTGCAGCCAAGCGACACCATATGTTATTCATAGCAATAGAAAACAAGTTTTCTAGTGTTGCTTTTTCAGCAGATCTGAGTCTTGGGGTAAAATCCCAAATAATAATGGTGGTTCTGGTGTCAAAATATTGAATGTAATCAAAGTAGAGAGAGAGTAACGTGGAAATCATCTGCCCCACAGGTAGAGGGAGGGTGTGGGATGGGGGTCTACAGGGGTTTTTGGTGGTGGAGAATGGGCACTGGTGAAGGTGGGCATTTCATTGTATGACCGAGACTTGAACCCAAAAGCTTTGTAACTGCTCTTGCAGTGATTCAATAAATAAAATTATAAAAAGTGAAAAAAAAAAGTAAGGTGGAGTTTATGCCCAATTCAATCAGCTAAGCTAGTGGCTGAATAAATAGCAGTACTCCTACATTAAAAAAAAATAGGACTGGAAAAAAGAAAAGAGGTATGGAAAGTGGTTTGGGGGGAGGCAAAAACCAGGAAAACTAGAGTCTGCACTAAATGAAAGCACTAAAAGAAAGGGCTTCCTAGGAACTCAAAGAAAGTCACAGCTAAATGCCTTAGTATTAATCAGCAATAGAGAATTCCCAATTGTACCTTGAAGTTTAATTGCTTATGGCATGTTTTCAAATTGTTGAACTTAAGATACTATATACAAGCAATTATTTATTTCTAAGATATCTCAATTACAATTACAAATTCCCATTTCCCTAAACTGCAATAGCCTAAACAAATATTGATAAAGACTAGCATACCTACTCTGTACATGTTTCCTTAAGTTACACATAACATGGTTTGAAACATAACAAGTTTAACATAACATGGTTATGTTAATAGGGAAATACAGGTAAAAGTTCTCATTGAATAAACTTTAGTCAAATGAAAACTAAATTATACATAGAGCTAAGTATTTTAAGAATAAACATCAAATAGTCTGTGCTCTTTTTTGTTTTTTTATTGCTGTTTTTTGTTTGTTTGTTTGTTTTTTCCCCAGAGAACATGTGTCATTGAAAAAATTAGGTAAAAGAAAATTTACTAGTCATTGTTTGCTTTCCATTTCCCTTCTTCAATTTTTGGGTTTGCGGGATGGAGGCCACACTGGGTGTGCTCAGGGGCTACTCCTGGCAGTGCCAAGGGGACCCAGCACCACGGATAAAA